TGGGAAAAGATGTGCATGGGCACTGGTGAAGTGGAAGCGTGTTCGTCTGCGCTAATCCCGGGCGCGATATGCACGGGAGGGCGCAACGGTCAGTGCGTTCGTGTCAATGGTCGGGGTGGAGACTCGCATGCGTGCGCCACGCTATGACGGGGTGGGTCTTCAACGTTGAGACAGCGACCGTGCACTGTCTTGAAAGGCTGGATTGGGGTTGGTTGAGCATGTAGGAAGCGTCGATGGTTGCATCGGACGCAGACGTTCGAGGGGGTACAGAAAGGGCAATTTGCGGACAGACTGAGCACACGCGCTGGCCGGTTCAGCCTCACGGTCGTCCTCGGCAATCACGCTAGTCGTCGACGGAGTTGACAGACACGGGGAGAGATTCGCACCCCGTCATCGCAAGCCGGCCTCATGAGGGCATCACAGCGTCCGTCTAGAACGATGACATGGACGTGTCAGTGATTGCGCCAGACGTGGACATGCGATATCCACAAGACGGCGAGGGAGCGTCTTGCAAAGCAGCAGTCTGGCTGCAGCCGGAGAACTGGCAGTGAGCGCGTCCACGTCAGCGGCCGAGGGGAGAGGGACGTATATATGATGAGATGGCTCGTTTAGACGAGTCCTAAATGCCGTGATGCGGTCGTGCTGCCTCAGAAAGATCGCATCCGTCGGACAGAGCGGTTTGGGAACACTGATGGCTAGCGCCAAACACGGGCTTGGGAGAACCTACAGGACAGACCGCGCGAAGGACGGGGCGTGAACGTAGCGACCGTGCGCTGGGCAGCTGACAATCAGGATGGCCCTGGGAAAAGCACTCTTGCAACGGCAGCGCGCTGTCTGAAAGATAGCTATGCATGTGAGTGATTGTGCCGAAAGTGGGCATGCGATACGCACACGATTCTTGCAAAGAAACGGTGGGCCGGGGCCGGGAACTTGCAGTTGGTGTATCCGCATCAACATCCGAGTCAAGAGCAACCTCGGGCTGGAAATGCCAACTAGGCACCTGACCTCGACATAGAAAGACCGCAGAATGGGCTGGGCGACGAACATGTCTCGAATGCATTGGCCATGGGGTTGGAAAGCCGAGCATCGTAACAGCCCTGGACGACTGTGTTGAAGCTGTCGGCGCTACGCGTACTGGGTGGGAAAGGTCTCGCATCGTTTAGTGTGGTGAGTGGAACACGTCCGTCGTGGCGTCAGACACAGGCACGGCGATGGTACATCTCGCGAATTCGGCAGTCTCATGCTGGCAAGCCGACTTTTGCGGCGCTCCTCTCGCGAGCGCGCTAAAGTCGTTAGTGACTGTTCATACATATTTTCACTGCTCAATCGCATGAGGATGTTGATAACGTTGTGCGTTGGCGATCGAAACTGGCGATCGTGAATTATTGACCGAGCGCGGGAGGATGCGACCGGCTTTGTCAACGAGGACTCCACTACTTGATCGCTGCTCGATTCACGGGCTGAAAATATTGCAGGTGGCGAGAACGTGTCTATATACCAGGAGACGTGAGCGCAAGCCAGATGACCAATCGTTCTGTGCACTTACGGTTCGAGACGGTGCGAAACCGGGGCAGGAGATGCGGTCGGGCTTGCTTATGCACACGCCGCACAATTACCGGAAACAAATTGGTCAGCAACAACGGGACATGAGCGGGACTCACCGAACATGGCCACGGTGAGTGAGAGGTGCGTGGACTCCATGGCGGGCATTCAGGACCAGTGTAAAATGAGAGTGGAGGAGACGACAATGTGCATGTGAGGGGTGAGAAGGCAGATGTGAGGAGGGGAGAGGAGATGCGAGGGGGAGGCAGATAATGCCAGCCATTCTCAAGCTGTTCTCACCAGGCATGCCATATCACACAAGAAGTCTTCTGAACAGTCAGCAAGCAATGCTGCCGGTGCCATGCATTTTGCAATTGCAACTTCCTTGGGCCAGATCAACGTAAGCGAGAGAAGGTCACTAAACCGGCTCACCTGCACACTCTCAGCAAACTTGAAATCAGGACGGATACTCGAAAGACTAGAGCATAGGCAGTATGGTTCACGGTGAGGAATGCGATTGCATGGATGTTTCGTTCGAGCACAAGCCATCACCATTGCGAGTGTAGAGACATGCGCTCGGCGCCTTGCTGCGTACTGCTCCAACGAGCTTCTCGAATGGTCCATGACTCGAGAGCAGTCTCACGAGAGTCAATAGAAGGCAGTTCAGATGTAAGTGTACATGCAGGAGGAATAAGTGCAATGTGCCGAGGTTGGGCCTCCTCCGTGCAGACTCGGGCCAGTTCATTAATGAACACCAATTGTGGCTCTTGAGATGCACCAGAAGTCATCCGAAGTTGTACGTATATTAATGATCAGACCTTGAAGAACCAAGAAGGCCGGGCATCAAGGGAAAACGCACCCACGAGATTGCCTTCGCGCGACCAGACAGCCATCGGATTGATGGATCGCGCACTGATCTGCAACGTTTCCTGTCACGCGTCACTCACCGATGGGCCCAGAATCGACGAACCGAGCTGAGCTGACTGGGTCGACAAGTTCATCCGGAGGAAGCTCGGAGTTCGCAATGTCGGCGTGGGTGCGGCCAATTGAAATTAAACCCTACCCTGGAACGGAAGTGAGAACCTGTCAGATTTGGAACCCCGCTATGGTGGCGGTGGCACCCTCTAGGCTTGGGCTTATCTCCTGCACAGCTCAGCTGTACACCGGCCTGGTATGAGATGATCTGTCAAGCTCCATGTCCCGTGCCACTCTGACCAGCATTGTGCAAGACTGTGCAGGTGATGCATAGGTAACCAGTCAAAGAGCTGTAATTTCAATTTGTGCCGGCGATTTTCACATCAATGAGAATCATATCAGACAACGCATCTGAGCAGAGTCATCCAGAAAGAAAGAAGACGACACGGCATGGTAGATAACAGTGATATTCTGATGCGAACTTTACTGCAGCCCATCAGAATATGAAACGAGATGCCGGTGCATCCATGAGAGTCGGATTCCATCCAGAACATCTCTGAGAGGTCTACCATGCAATGCCACCCTCTATGACAAATTTGAGAGTGATCTGACACATTGTTCACGCCCATTCCTGTGAACACTTTTTACCCCGCACCTCTTCCTCCCTCTCAGCTTTTTCCTCCCTGTTCCTCCATACCATGCTCCCCCTATTGTATAAGCTCGGATCCTTGCTGGGATGGCTCACCTGTGTCTGTCATGGTGGCCCTGACCATGCAAGCTCTACACGGGCTCGAGATCTCCAAGTTCAAGAAATGTAGAGCGTCGGACCAGTGAGCGTGTTGCTGCGGTGCACCAGTCAGTCTCAGAGGTAAGTGGTATATCTAACGGTCTTAGGAGCCCGGTAAAGTGCGAGTAGTAATGACTGAGTTGGGACGCGTCAAGGGCGCATTGAGACAAAGGCGCTCGACGTGCAATGTCATCACGTGAGCGCGAGAGGATGGGATGTTCTCTGGCTGGCGGCTCAACGTTGGCTCATTTCTTCACGCCATGCAACCATTGCGTGCTCGGCTGCTTGTGCCCACTTACTCCCAGATCAACGCACTTCTCCCTTCGCAGCCGCTTGCTCACACATCATCGCAGTTTCGTGGGCTTGAGATTGATTATTCATGTTCTGTATCGCCATCTCCACAGTCCGGAGTCCGGGGATTCTTCTTCATATGCATGGCCGCAGCTTGAGCATACGTATTTTGTATGAAAGTGCGAGTCCTACTAGTCATTGCTGGGCTGATAAACCCGTCCGGACTGACAAAATTTCATATGCGTTTGCATAGTGATTGTTTATCATGCGATGACGTCTTCTGCACAGCACAATCTCATGGACATCCTTGGCAGCTCAAAATCCACCGTTGCACGATTTATGCCTCTGCAAACTCGGGTCTCGACACGGCCATCATGCTACGCCGATACGACATGGACATATGCATGGGCTCACCTGGCAGCATAATTATGCGTGAGTCTCGCGCTGCGGTCGTCTTCGCCAATTTTCAGTGCCTAATCTGAAACGATCGCATACCCCGGTGACCTGCGGCCTTCGGAGGTGTTTGCCCTGCCCACCACGCATCTTTTAGAATGGATGGCCTTTGCACTCGGCATTCTATGCAGTTATACACATTGCCAGCAGGCAAGTCCTTCATTTGCACTCATCTTTAATTTGTTAAACAAGAGTGCCCGACTGCAGGTCTTTCAGCGTCGAAGCTAATGAGTTAGGCAAGCATTCGCGTTTAGATATCGACAGCCCTTACCATTCATCATGTGACGCGGCTATCATGGCGTCGATGAAGGGTCATTTGCAGCAGCATCATGCGGATTAAACAGCACAAGGAGGCCAGATGATGGGGGAGCGTCAGTGGAGAAAACTAGCCTGGCCTGTGATGGGGTAAGAGCATGAATCAGCAAAACAGTCCGTGATTTCCATAGATATCATGCAGCGGGTGATGCAATGAGAACTTAGAAGAGCGAAGAGGACAAAGAGATGGGTGTCGGGAACGACCCTGGACGGCCGATGAACGCAGCACGAGGAACGCAAGGGCACAGGTCGAGAGAGGGGACATGGAAATATGCCAAACAGATGAGAACGACCCTGGACAGCCGATGAATGCAGCACGAGGAGCACAAGGGCATAGGTCGAGGGAGGGAACATGGAAATGCTGGTAGACTTCTGCTAAGGATTGTTAGTAGGTGGTAGAAGGGGTTGGAATGGAACTAGTTTGGTCGGCAATGAATCATGGCCTATCTCGGCTGTAAGTGCTCTCTGAACAAATTGAAAACAAACCCAGCATCCTTGGGCTCTTCGTCCCTTTCCTGCTCTGCACACTGCCCTCTCTCCAACATTTTCAACGGTTGCATGCGCACACTCACACACACCAGGCTACCACGTGAGCGATTTCTCAATTGCTGATAAATGACACACCGTGAGCTATGTAACTGAAGGGCTGATGCTCGCATCGTTAGACCGGTACCTCCAACTCCCATGCAAATAGTCCAGCTGCGTGGCCTTCCGCGCGTACCTTGCTGCTCTTTCGACGGTCTCAGAGAGTCGAACGGAGAAGATCGTACATCTGTGAGGTCGTTCGCGCTCGCGTTTTCATGTCCATTCGTATTCCGTCGCTGGCCAGGGTGGAGCCTCCACAGCAGATGCGACAGCCCCGACGCCAACCGGGCCGTCTCAGACCGCCGAAACAAACCCGGACGCCTCGTCTGCCCGAACGCGCTCCGCGACGAGTTCGACGTATCCACAGAAACGAGCTCCGGGCGCGACATGTACATGCTCGGGCTCGACGCAGAGTTCGCGAGCATGGGCCCGTCACCGAACGCGATGCCGCTATCAGTGCTGTTGCTCGTCGCCTCCGTATTCAGCGGAGCCGGCCCTCGCTCACCCTGGTTCTCCATCAACGGGTCCTCCACGGAGCTGCCTGCCTCCGATTGACCTCTGTGCAATTTTTCAGCGGTGCGGCACATCAGGCGAGACTGCGGGTCAGGTGGATGCTCACCGGTACACGACCACCTCCTGCTCTCCCGGCTCCTTCAGATACCGGTGCTAATGATGACATTATTGGATGGTATCTACTCCAAAAGACCACTCTATGCATAAACGCAGCCATGACAAGAATGCTAGTAATCTATATGTGACCATGCGACAAGAATCAGTGCGTGCTTAGTGTACAGTTTTGCTATCCTTCCTATGGGAGCGGCGGTGGAGACAAAACCTAGTGTGCGTCCCCGCATGACGCTCGGCCGCCTAGTGTTGGTGATGACAGGTGGGGACGACCACCTCGGGTTAGACGGAGCGTTGTCCCAAGACAGCGGTCTCGCCATCAGATATGCATGACCTGCGAAGCTATCTTGCTGCGTGCACGGATCGCTGGGCCCTTGAAGAACAACACCTGCAGCAACCAATGAACAAAGCAATCCCACTACACAGCGAAGGACGATACTCACAAACGGGATCGGGATCATGACCACTGCGATGAGCGCGAACAGCGTGTTCGCCCAGTGGTACGTCAGCCTGGCAAACATCTGTGTCGTGAACATCGGGAACGCCATGCCCATCAGGTTCCGGAAGAGACTCTGGCCGGCGAGCGCGGATGACGCGAACGTGCCGTAGCTACAATCGAAAGCAATTGGTGAGCGGAGAGGTGGTAGGGACATTGAAAGAGGTACGTACCAGTCCGCAAGATAGGTGAACACGGCGAGGTAGATGATGAACAGTGCCCACATGATGAGCTGCAGCGAGCTAGGGGTGAGGATCCGCTAGTCCGCAACGGAATGGCGGCGTACGTACAACAATGCCGATCGCCGGAGCGATCCAGTACACCTGAGTGTACGTCGACCAGGCGAAGATGAACATGCCAATCGGGAAGAGGATGGCGGCTGCCATTGGCGCATACAGCCGCGCTTCTGGTCCTCGAGTGGCAACGTTTTTACTGTGCAACGGCGACTGTGGGCTAAGCTCATCGTTTAAATTCACAACAGCATGACGTACCTATACATCTTCTCCTGAATCACATTCGTGCACAAGCCAAGCATGGCACCTATCCTGTGAGTAGTTCAAGTTGTGAGTAGTTGAACACCTCTGTCGAGCTAGACCACGTACGTAATGGTGATGAACGCCGAACCCTCCTCGCCCGCGTTGAAGTGATGCAGTGTTCGGAAGACGGGACCAATGGCCCTAGGCGACATTATAGTCAGTCTGGCATTCCACCGATCAGGGAGAACGTGACCCACTCTATCATGACG